GCTCTGCGACGACGGAGGCCGAGGCCTGGGAGGGCTGGGAGGGAGTGTGTGTCCAAACGCGCACGTGGGAAGAGAGCAGTCAGGGAAAGCTTACCAAGCGGGGCTTTTAATTTAAAGTGTGTGTGTATGTATATGCGTATGCGTGTATATATCCATACACATACATATTTGGATAATTTGAACATCACTCAAAATGTAAAAAGTAGAGAGGTGTAGCGTGTAGAGTCTCCCTCTCCCCCAGCCCTCGGCCACGCTATGCTTCCCAGCATTTATTAGGAAGTATTTCAAACGTAAGGAAAGGTTCAAGGCCGCACAGGCTCTGGAGCGGAGGTGTGGGCTGTTTCCTGTGTCCACCACTTAGCAGCACGCCGAGCGAAGAAGGCAGACACAGAAAGACAAACACCCTGTGGTCCCACTTGCATGTGGAATGTAAAACCTAAAAAACAAGTTCATATATCCAGGAACAGACTGGGTGTTGCCAGAGGCAGGGGCTGGGGCTGGGTAAAATGTTACAAAGTTAGTAAGTTCTGGAGACACAGTGTAGAGCACGGTGATGATAATAACGCTGCATTGCATATTTGGAAGGTGCTAAAACAGATCATAAAGGTTTTCATCACAAGGGGAAAGTGTGTAACTGTGTGATGTATGTTAGCTAACGCAGCTTATTGTGGTGATCGTTTCATAATACATACAAATATCGAGGCATGTTCTACACCTGAAACTAATACAGTGTTATGGGGGGTGTTCATAGGCTCTGTTCATTCACTTATTTAGCTGAAATGCAGTCGGTTTGCAATATTGTGTTAATTTCTGGTGTGCAGCGTGGTGATTCAGTTATACGCACACTTATGCATTCCGTTTCATAGCCTTTTTCATTATAGGCTATTACAAGATATTGAATATAGTTCTCTGTGTTGTACAGTAGGACCTTGCTGTTTACCTGTTTTATACCTAGTAGTTAGTATCTGCAAATCCCAGACTCCCAATTTATCCCTCCCCATCCCCTTTCCCTTGGTAACCATGTTTGTTTTCCATGTCTGTGACTGTTTTTGAAACTAATACAGTGTTACATGTCAATCACATCTCAATTGAAAAAAGGGAGAACAGTTGCAGCGTCCTGTGAACCACCGCTGGGCTTCCTGCCCTTGGTCCACCGCATCCCGTCTTCTCGTGCATCTGTTTCACGCACGGTGCCGACATCTGTACACCTCCCCCCTCGGTACTCCAGCGCTATCTGGAGCTCGATTTGTTTTTTCAAAGGTCGAATTTACACACAGTGAATGGCGCTAATCCTCAGTGGACAGACAGCTCCACGAGTTTTGACAAATGAAGCCCAACTCCTGGTCAAGGGCACTTCCAGCACGCTGACCCAAGGCGCCACGTTCAGGGTTTTCCCACCAGACCCGCCTTCCCTGCCCTGCAGCCTCTCAGGGTGGGCACATCTCTTCTGCAACTGGCTCTTTCAACCCCTCGAATAGCCAGATCCAAGCCCCGAGACTGGTGCGGCCGTGTGGGCAGTGAGTTCTTGGTCACGTGGGGCAGCTGTCTGTTCATCCACCTCCCTGTATGGGGCTCGGTGATGCGTCCCGTCTTACTTCTTGTGGTAAACAGCCCGTAGTGGGACGGCTGGGCATAGGGTAGGTGTTTAGTTTTGCAAGAAGTTGCTAGGCCTTTCCCTGATGTAGTCTTCTTCCCCCCCCCCACCCCGCCACCCCAACCCTATCTTTAAACACGGACAGCAGCACGACTGCTCTGCTCACCGCTCCCCTGCGGCGGCACACCTCGGAGGTTCTTCTACCTCAGTGCACGAGGGCTGTCCTGCTGTCATTTATCCAGACAGAAGGGAACTGGGGCAAGGCCCGAGGCTTGGCAGACGCTGCAGAACCTCAACTTCGGGGACGAGAACTCTGAGGATGGACACAGCTCCTGCCCTGTTGACCCAGGGGCTCGGTCATGTGGGCTGAATGGAAGGAACGGGTGATGGGGAGGTGTGCTGGCCGCAGGCTCAGGGCAGGGTGACGGCGAGTCCCAGGGCTCCAGCGCTGGGGGCAGGTAAGTGGGGGAGGGCACTGCCTGGGCCCCTGGGACTCAAGAACCAGGCACTGGTGGGCATTGAAGTTTGTGCTGCAGCTTCTGCCGCCCCTTGGATGGTGTCACATGCCCAGCCCCTGGCCCTCGTGTCAGGAAGCCATCCTCCTCCCTGGGCCACTGGCTGGCCCCTTGGGTGCAATGGGAAGCTCACCCACTTCCCACGCTCACAACTCCCTGCATCAGGGCGCCCCGGGACGGAACCACGG